AAGTTTAGGAGTGGGGGCTAAAACGTCATTTCTACGTATAAAATGTACATAGAAGTGACGTCACGCGACATTTCAAATCAATATATCGTCGAAAGTATTTTTTCTGTGAGAAATTAAAAAAATACGTGTCTAATGATTCAAAATAATCTACCAGACGGACATTACCGGTCATCTACCCTATTCAACTAAATATGTATGAGCCCCTAGTGTGACTTGAAACTAGTTGAGTGAGTTACCTCATGAAATAGTTACCTGAGTACCTAACCTGTCAAGTCTTACTTATATTGATAATAGTACGGAACCCTCCATTTGCGAACCCCTCTCATTCATTACCGATTATATTTCCATAGAGAAATAGTCATATTTACAAAGCATTAGTAGCAGATACATGAAGCTACTCCAAAGTGTCCAGTACATTTATTTTCAATTTTTATTGCGTATGATTCTCAACCTTATAACCGTGTTTTTATAGTTGAGAATTTGTTGATAAACATTGGTACGTTTGTCAGTTCAGACCTTTCTAGAAGCGAGTTCAATTTTAATCTATGAAACACTGCACTATTAGCAAATAAAATCAGGTGTGAACTGGTTTCATAAACAAATATTTTATTTGAAACTCTTGGAACTTATACGATTCATTAACTCGTCGAGTACCGGTTTTGTAGACACAATTATAGAACAATAGGTTGCGGTCACCGGTGACCGCTTGGTGTTTGACAGTTTAATGAAGAAGTATGGTCACAGATACACCCTATATGACATGTAACTATTTAATGCTGATGTAACATCTACAATGACTACATATCTTTTAGAGGTTTATATATATAGTACGTATATACACGTGTATGTATCTATGTCTATCACATCTGTCTGTTGAATTCCACACAACATCTGTTATGTCCTTATTATGTATCAACACGGAATTCCTATTATTAGATAAATAACAATAAATGTTTACTTCATAAATTAATAACTATTGATGTGTGAAACAGCACGTTGTATACCTGTGGATACCCTTCGATTGGACCTTGTTGGTTACATTGTAACATTACAACGAACATACTACGTAGTGCCGCTGCCGTCTCCTCAAATATTGACATTGTACTTCTATTTGCAGCACTATCTATGTACATATAAAAAGTTATCTAATAATCATTTCCACATGTGAGTAAAGAAATTTAAAATAATCTCCCTGAAGATTAGCTACAGTCATCAAAAGAACCTATTTTATTGACATTACCTTCGATAACAGTGATACGAATGTGTACACGGTACAATATCACTAATAATAATAGTTATTGATAAATCATTTTATTTTCATCAAGGGCCGTAAGAAACCACAGTGAGCAGTAACTTCCCGACTACTGGTGCAACTGCACGTCTATGTTTATTCATAACAATATACTTTAAATTATTCCAAATCTAAGTTAGCCTAACTAAACGTTTCTATCACATCGGCCTTAAATCCTCCAACTACCGCCTGCTGACTTCCAAGTTTTTTTTATAATACCCTTCAGTTGATTGATTATATAAATGGCAAACATGTTAATAAGGACTAGACGGTATAAGTGCTACAGGATTGCTACTGTAATCAGAGTGCTATTAGTTTTGGGGATACCTTTAGTTTATTTGATATTTAGTAATACTGGTTCAGAGGAAGAAATGTTAAAATCTACGTTTAATTCAGGTAATATATTAAGCAGGGTGTTAGTGAATTCTGTGCTGATAAGTGGTCTATAAAATTCATTTGTGGTATTCAGGTTTTGATGGAGCTGTTTCTCAACGTAGATTGCTGAGCGTAGTTGAGAGGGAGGAGAGGAATTGCACTCCCGCAGCAATTTTGGAGTTTCCCTCCGATGGTCTCAGCCGGTATCAACGGCAACATGTAAGGATGAATCTGTGCATTTTTAATTATGCTTTTATGCAATTATACGTTTTAACAAAGTCAGACAGCGAGCGAATTTTTTCCTTGAATCACACATTCTTGCTGCAAATGTTTTGGCGAAATGTTTAATATTATATTATTTTAAAGATTATGCTTTCACTGCCATATTGATTGTAACTAAGTTGTACAGAAATGAAATACAGTATAATAAAGTAACATTGTAATCTTTAAAAATCCAAGATTAGATGGATTTAGGAAAGATTAATTATTGAATTAAATTGGACGTCGTCTATATTCAAATTCACTATATACATACAGATGATACTAAATGTAAATTAACTTTAATACAAAATGCCGCTTATTGAGTAATTTACTGATTAATGAACTTTGAGATTAACATACTCGTACTATGTTCAAATAAGAATAACTTCCTTAACAATTTTCATTGTAGTATATATTTCGTTTGGAGTTTCCTTTACTTACAAAATCATGAATGAGACAATTAATAATACTTATTTTTAATTAGTTTCTGCCCGCGTATAATACTAACTTTCGGAGGATTTTTTTGTGTCGCTCTAGAACAGACCTTTTTCGAATTTGTACTCTATTGCTGATACCTTATCACCCTATTTTTGTTTGTTATTTAAAACTGACACAATGGTTTCGCTGTTGCATTATACGTATATTATAGTTTAAAATTAATATGTAGTTATATTATACATTGTATATTACAGGGTTACATAGCAATACACTGTATATTAGCTATATACTGCTTCTTTCTGCTGGGGACGGTGTGTGAGCAGTACTTCGTGCCAGCAATCGAGATGATATGCGAACGTGAGTGTACATTTCCATTGTAAATTACAATTAGTTTATGATATATGCATGCTAACAATACTCGTAATGCATACAAGTTTCAATTATAAACGTAGTCTTGAAGTTAAATTGGATATGTTAATAACATACTGTTTTTTTGTCGAAACTTTCAATTTTCGGTGTGGCGGCTATTACGCTTATGACTTGCATTCGATTTATTGACTATGTAATCCTGCTTCGGTCGATATATGATTGTTAATGAAAACTTGTCATAAATTGTATGTATGTACTTACCCTTCAGTTCTGCCAACCTATACGATTTGTCATATAATTAAGTTAACGTAATTCAAATATATCGTGATTAAAAATTAAACGCTATACTACGTAGAAATAGGTCTTGAAAAGGGGAAATCTGAAAGAATCATGTTATTAGTAGTAGGGGAGCCCACGATGCTAAATTGGGATTTACTTGAGCGTCCTTGGGACCTACTGGATTTTGAAGATATGCTGATAGAAAGAAGAAATGGTTTAGTGACAATTTCTTCCACCAGTGGGGGAAGGGGGAATCTACAGATCTTTGAAATTGTTAAGCGTAACTTTTGTTCTA